GAGACCTTGCGCTCCTCCACCTTCCGTTTGAGGAGGCCCCACAGATACTCAATAGGGTTTGGTCTGGAGACATGTTGGCCAGTCCATCACCTTTACCCTCAGTCTTTAGCAAGGTAGTGGTCGTCTTGGAGGTGTGTTTGGGGTCGTTATCATGTTGGAATACTGCCCTGCGGCCCAGTCACATTAAGGGAGGGGATCATGCTCTGCTTCAGTATGTCACAGTACATGTTCATTCATGGTTCCCTCACTGAACTGTAGCTTCCCAGTGCAGGCAACACTCATGCAGCCCCAGACCAGGACACTCCCACCACCATGCTTGAATGTAGGCAAGACACACTTGGCTTTCTACTCCTACCTGTCTGTAGCCACACACGCTTGACGCCAACTGAACCAAATAAATTATCTTTGTCAGATCAGACCACAGGTTGTGGTCCAGTAATCCATGTCCTTAGTCTGCTTGTCTGCAGCAGATTGTTGTGGGCTTTTTTTGCATTCTTTAGAAGAGCTTCCTTCTGGGACAGCATGCAGACCAATTTGATGCAGTGTGCAGCGTATGGTCCTGAGCACTGACAGGCTGACCCACACCCCTTCAACCTCTGCAGCAATGCTGGCAGCACTCATACATCTATTTCCCAAAGACAACCTCTGCATAATAATATATAATCATTTTTATATAGAAAGTGTAAAAACAATAAAACAGCCAGAGCCTCGGGGCCCTGACAGCAAACCCTCAGTCCCCTTTAATTTTCTATTTTACCAATAAGGGGTGTCAATCAGAGCCTCTATTACCCCGCGGCCTCTTACTCAGAGGTTCCTCACCAGCAACAAGAGAGTTTTAACCAGTTTATTCCCATCAACTTGTCTGAGTTTTTAAAAACAGTATCACAAATGAAAGTGTCCTCCAGCCCACTTGTAATACCTACAAAGTTCTTACTGAAAGTAATAGATTCTGTTGGGCCCCATTTGATCTCTGTTTTCAACAGCTCCTATCTACTGGTTGGTCCCTGATATTTTAAAACGGCTTGCGTGAACCCACTTTTAAAGAAACCTGGTTTAGATCCTCCCTCCCACATAATTTTAGACCAATTTCAAAACTGCCTTTTATTGCAAAGATTCTAGAAAGAATTGTGTCCAAACAGCTGCTCACTGTACTGGAAAATAACAAATTATTTGAAAAGTCTGGTTTCAGGAAGTACACACAGCACTGAGACTGTCCTGCTTAAAGTCACCAATGACCTTTTAATTCTGCTGCTGATGAAGGCATGTGCTCAGTCCTGGTACTCCTGGACCTTAGAGCTGCTTTTGACACCATTGATCACAACATCATGTTAGACAGACTGAGGCACTGGGTGGGGATCTCTGGTACTGCCCTAGAATGGTTTTCATCCTACCTGTCAAATAGGAAGTTTTGCTTGTCTGTAAACAACTATCTCTCTTTATTCTGTCCAGTTAAATATGGTGTGCCTCAGGGGTTGGTCTTAGGACCCATTTTGTTTCCTTGTATCTGCTTCCCCTTGGACATATTATCCATAAACATGGCATTTCTTTTCATATTTATGCTAATGACACAAATATACTTGCCCGTCAGATCCACAGACCCTGGAATGCTGAGTTCACTTAACAACTGCCTTTGTGAAGTTAAAAATGGATGTCAAATAATTTCCTCCAGCTGAACTCGGACAAAACAGAAATCCTGGTCATCGGGTCCCAGCAGATGGCAAATCAAATACTGCCATCTGCTGGTTGCCTAGTAAATCACATTAAGCCTGTGGCAAAGAACCTTGGTGTTTGGTTTGATAGTAATTTAAATTTCGAGCAGCACACCACAAAGCTTGTTCAATCATGTTTTATCAACTTAGAAATATAGCAAAAATTCGATCAATGTTAACTTTTAAGGACACCGAGACCATTTTACACGCCTTCATCTCATCATGCCTGGATTATTGCAACAGCCTTTTCACCTGTTTAACCCAGAACTCAGCTGCCAGGCTTTTAACCAGAACTAAGAAATATGACCACATTACTCCTATTTTAGCTTCACTACACTGGCTCCCAGTATGTTTTAGAATTGACTTTAAAATTTTATTGATCACTTTTAAAGCTCTTCATGGCCTCTCGCCTTGTTATATTTCTGACCTTTTAGTCCCATACGCACCAGCACGCACCTTGAGATCCTCGGGCAGAGGTCTGTTCTCTATTCCAGAGTCTCGACTGAAAACTAAAGGGGACAGAGCGTTGCTGTCAGGGCCCCGAGGCTCTGGAACAGCCTACCAAGGAAATCAGGTCGGCTGAGTCAGTGAACTCTTTTAAGTCCCTTCTTAAAACAAACTTTTATAGGAGAGCCTTTCCCGATCTTATTTGACTTTATTTTATCCCTTTTTATTTTATTCTATTTTACTAATTTTATATTTATCTTAAACGTGTATTTAAGTCTTTTCATGTTTTCATGCTTTTATCTTGTATTGTTTTTGTATTATTGACTTTACACTTGTTAAAGCACTTTGTAACTTGTTTTGAAAAGTGCTCTACAAAAAAAGATTATTATTATTATTGTTCCAGAGCCTCGGGGCCCTGACAGCAAACGCTCTGTCCCCTTTAATTTTCAGTCAAGACTCTGGAACAGACTGCAGACCTCTGCCTGAGGATCTCAAGGTACGTGCTGGTGTGTATGGGACTAAAAGGTCAGAAATATAACAAGGCGAGAGGCCATGAAGAGCTTTAAAAGTGATCAATAAAATTTTAAAGTCAATTCTAAAACATACTGGGAGCCAGTGTAGTGAAACTAAAATAGGAGTAATGTGGTCATATTTCTTAGTTCTGGTTAAAAGCCTGGCAGCTGAGTTCTGGACAGTCTGGAGTCGATCAATAGATTTTGGGTTAAACAAGTGAAAAGGCTGTTGCAGTAATCCAGGCGTGATGAGATGAAGGCGTGTGTCTCGGTGTCTTAAAAGTAACATGATTCACTAGGGAACTAGCAGATGGCTGGCAGTATTTTTTTTACCATCTGCTGGACCCAATTACCAGGATCTCAGTTTTGTCTGAGTTGAGCTGGAGGAAATTATTTGACATCCAATTTTTGATTTCACAGAGGCAGTTGTTAAGTGAACTCAGCATTCCAGGGTCTGTGGATTTGACGGGCAAGTATATTTGTGTGTCCAAGAAAAACAAAATGGGTCCTAAGACCAACAGAATCCATTACTTTCAGTAAAAACTTTGTAGGAATTACATCAAGTGGGCTGGAGGACACTCTCATTTGTGATACTGTTTTTAAAAGCTCACAAGTCAATGGGATAAAACTGGTTAAAACTCTCTTGTTGCCGGTGAGGAACCTCAGGGTAAGAGGAAGAGGGGGTAATAGAGGCTCCGATTGACACCACCTTTATCATTATAATAAGCTCATCATTACTCTACTACTTCTACTATCACAATCATCATTACTTCCAGCTGAAACACAAGGAGGGGTTGGATTTATGAGCAGATCCACAGACTTAAATAAAAACCTAGGATTATGTTGAGTTGTAGAAATGAGTTCAGAAAAATAGTGTGTTGTCTTAGTTAATTAATAAATCCTTCAGACTGAGCTAATGGACTTTGAAAGTGGATATGAAGCTGAGCATGTGCACTCAACTTCTTTGGTCAACCATGGCGAGGCCTGTCCTGTTGAACCGCTGTATGGTCTTTGCCAGCGTGCTGCAGCTCAGTTTCAGGGTCTTGGCAATCTTTTTATAGCCTAGGCCATTTTTACGTAGAGCAACCATTCTTTTTTCAGATGCTCAGAGAGTTCTTTGCCATGAGGTGCAATGTTGAACTTCCAGTGACCAGTATGAGGGAGTGTGAGAGCAATAACACCAAATTTGACACACCTGCTCCCCATTCACACCTGAGACCTTGTAACACTACTGAATCACATGACACGGGGAGGGAAAATGGCTACTTGAGCCCTGTTGGGACATTCTCACATAGGGGTGTACTCACTTCAGTTGCCAGTGGTTTAGACATTAATGGCTATGTGATGTGTTTATTTGAGGGGACAGAAAATTTACACTGTTATGCTAGCTGGACACTCATTACTTTACATTGTAGCAAAGTGTAATTTATTCAGTGTTGTCACATGAAAAGTATAATCAAATATTTACAAACATGTAAGTTTACTCACTTTTGTGAGATACAGCATGCGCCAGTTCTACCAGCTTTACATAAACATTTCCAACTGACAGCTCTTACCCTGTCAAGAGGTCGGCTGGCTGACAACGTAATGTCACCAGTGACTGAACTGAAATGACTCTAATTTTTTCAGGAATGCTTCCTTCAGTGTTTTAATGTTTTAATGACTGTTTGTTTTGGAGAGGAGACGGCTGCTGCGATAATTCGGCTCATGGTAGAAACCAAAAAGTCAAACCACAGGAATCCTAAACTAAAACATATGTGACTGTCTGTACAGTCTGTGAGTCCTT